TCCAGCGCTGGGCTTTGGGCTGTTAAGGGAGTTTGGGGTTTCAGAGTTTCAGGGTTCGCAGCTCGAGGTTAGAAGCTGTACGGTTTGGACGGACCCCTCAACCCTCACCCTAAACCCTAAACCCCCAAAGCCCTAAGACCCTAAACCCTAAGACCCCGAAGCCCCAAAACCCTTAGCCGATTTTTTTCAATGCATGGGTGCCTCGAGCACCAGGCCCAGAATCATGAGCAGCAGCTGTGTTTTTTCGGGCATTGGGCTGGGGTTTATGGTGTAGGGTTTAGGATTTAGGAGTTTAGAGTTTTAGGGTTTAGGATTTAGGGGTTTGGTGGTTTTAGGTCTTACTGTTTAGCGGTTGGCGCACTCGCTTTTCCCTGTTCACGGAGCCTGGGGCCGGAATTATGAGTGGCCTGTTCTGGGTTCTTGTTAGGGGATTTAATTTAAGTTGTCTTTACTATAGATCCCTATTATGGTAACTTGAATTAAATCCCTTAACAAGAAGCCAGTGTTTTCCGACCTGGAGCAAGGGGTCTTCGCAGCAGCTGCTTTCTTCCACTTGTTCCACAGTCGCGGTTTAGGGTTTTGGGTTTTTGGGTTTTAGGGTTTAGGGTGTAGGGTCTCGAGGAAGGGCTGTGATCGCCTGCAGCCTTAGCTAGTCTCGTCTTGGAGTGGGGTCTGAAGGAGGCCAGATAGGAATTCTCACCGATCATTGGAGGATTGACCCATGGTAGAAGGGGTGGCCTTGGCACCCTGAAGCCAGGTGGGTAGTTCTCTAAAGTCGGGTTTCTTTGGGGTCCTTTTTATAGGCGTGCCATGCTATTTTTCTTCTCCTTCCTTGCCCGTGCAACCTCGAGGATTCGCGGACCGCTGGCAGGATCGAAAAAGGCAGATGCTACAGGCTAAACCCTAAGCCCCGTATAATCCTGATTGGAACCTCCTTTACGGGATCCTAAACCCTCAACCCGATGTAATCCTCACAGGAACCCGTCTTAAAGGAATCCTTAAAAGAACCCTTATGGGTAGTTCTCTAAATGAGGGTCCCTTGATAGGTCCCGAATATAGTACGGCACCCGTTTAAAAAGACCCTAAAAATAGACCCTATGTTGGACAACTACCCTTATAGATCCCTTAAAGGAACCGTTAAGGGAACCCTTAAAGGAAGCCGGAACGGAGGCCTTATAGATCCCGTAAAGGCAGCCTTCAAGAAAGCCTTGAACGGTACCTTGCTCGTGCCCAGAAGCTCCTGGTCGGACGCCGCTCCTTGGAACGGTCTGGCCGTGGCTACCCTTTAAGGGGTTCCTTACAAGGGGCACGATGAGAGGTTTATGGGGTTTAGGGGCGGAAGATGGTTTAAGAGAGAACGGCGTAGGGGTTTAGGCTCAAAGCCGCAGTTTTCGATGTGGGGATGTGGCTCTAGAAGGTCTAAGCTGTCCGGGCCAGGCTTACACAGCCTGCAAGTTCGCGGACTGCGAGAGACAAGTAAGCAAGGGGCCTCAGACCAAGATAAGTAAGGTGTTTAACAAGACAAGAGGGGGAATTGAACTTCATCGCCATGCATGCTTGCAGGTCATAGTCAAACTATATGAGTGTCACAGTCATCAGCATTGTGATGTCTCTTGCCGCGCGCGTGATTCCCGGTCTTCTGAAGGCATTCCCTGTGCCTGAGACCCGGATCAAGGCTTCGGGTTGAGGGTCTTGGGTTTAGGGTGTAAGGGTTTAGGGTTTAGGGTTCTTATGGAGCTTGGATTGAGTGGGGTTGCAAGCTTACCATGCGGTTTGGGGTATGAGGGTTGCGGGGCTTATTGGGTAGTTCTTCAAACTAGGATCCCGTTTTTACGTCCCCAACATAGTACGGCACCCTTAGAAAAAGGACCCTAAAAGGGACCCTAGTTTGGAGAACTACACAATTGGTTTGCAATGCATCAGTTGCACCCAACGCGATGCCTGTCGGAGCAAATGGCAATTTCAGAACAGGGGGTGAGGGCTTCCGGCTTCCTTATTTCATGTTCCACAGGCACTGTGGATCAGAGTTGAGATAGAGCCTTGGGCTCCTCTTTTATCTACTTACTGTTGATGATAGCAATCCTGCAGTACTGTAAAGGACCCTAAACTATGGGAATTCCGGTATATTCCTTACGATGGGTAATGCAGGATCTATCACATCAACTGTATGATGAGGAACCGCCACAATAGTCTTGGTAGTTATTTAGAAGCGCTTCACAACGCTTCCTGTAAGGCTTTCCTGGGGGTGTTACGTGGGTCCCAAGGCTTGACCGGCACTTTAGGATCATGGGACTTTCTAGCTTGTGTTTATTTGTAGAGCAAAACTGCCTGAGTGGATCGTTATCTTCGTTGCAGGATACCTTAACCTACCAAAACCTACTTCTTTGTAGGTTCTTATTACAAACCCTAATCTGGATTTATAGGGACCCTACAAGAAAGTAGGTTTTGGTAGGTTAGGGTACTTACGATGCTTGAAAGTCCACCGAGCCCTCAAGGAACGGTTAGCCCCCAAAAAGGCTCCCTTGACCCAAAGACTTCATAACTCTGGACAAAGAAATCGACCCTAAACTAGAAAGGGCTCCTAAACATACTCTACACCCTAAACTAGACAGGGCTCCTAAACATACCCTAGAGCCTAAACTAGAAAGGGCTCCTAAGCATACCCTAAACCCTAAACTAGAAAGGGCTCCTAAGCATACCCTAAACTAGACAGGGCTCCTAAACATACCCTCAACCCTAAACCCAATGATTCGCGTAGGGCATCCGGGGCTCTCGTCGGACCAGCTTCCCAGCTTCACGGCAAGAGCCCGGCAAGGTCCCTTGGTTTAGAATACCACTGCCCATGCTGGTTCTTTACACCGAATATGAGGGTTCTATAAGGGCACTGTAAGGTTCCTTTTTGGGGTTGAATTAGGGTTGTTTAGGGTTCTATAAGGGTTCTATCTACAGTCGATGATACAAATCCTGCGTTACCCATAATAAGGAATAGACCATAGCTCCTATAGTTTAGGGTCCTTACGGCAATGCAGGATTTCTATCATCAACAATAGGAAAGATGATGTTCAGAGTTCGGGGTTCAGGGTTTAGGGCATAGGGGCACCGGGGGAGGGTGTTGGCAACCGGCTTCGTAATGGCTCGGGTTAGGGTCGGGGTTTAAGAAGAATTCTTGGTAACTATGTAGGGCCCTAAACCCTAAACACTAATTATTTAGGCCCGTATTTTAGCGTTTCGTAGGGTCGTGCTAAGTGTAAAGGTCCCTGAGACTCAATTGGTAACGTCTACTCGGCATTAAAGGCACTTGAGCTGCGTTTCCCTGCCTATGCCCAAATCCTCCTTCACGGTAAACAAGAAATTTATTTGTTGCGAAAGAGCACAGCCACGAAAACCGAAGTGTGCCCCGATCCGCTAAGCAGCTTTGGGGCAAGCAAGCCAAACTGAACTACGTATCCCATCTGAGCCTGAAGAGTCTCGGGGTTCTTCGGGCTTCAGGGGGTTGAGGGCACTGCGTCTTCGAGGCTCTTGCAGGTTGGGAACTCCATCTTGCCACAGGCCAAACAGCAAGGTTTCAGGGCTAGGATTCTATAAGCCCTCAAAAGGTCTCTCAATTGCTGAGTTCATAAGCACAGAAAAGTGTACACTTTCAGTTTTATAAGGGATCACACTATCCCAAAAAAGCTTAACGTGCACTCATTCAGCTACTACGGTCTCAAGCGCGACGTGAGATAAGCTGCGTCCCCAATGGAAGGCGTCAGACGCGCTTCGCCCCCCAAACGGTTAAAGGTTACCTACTCAGCCCCTAAGAAGTAGAAGTAGTAGTAGTAGTAGTAGTAGTAGCAGCAGGAGTAGTAGTAGTAGTAGTAGTAGTAGTAGTAGTAGTAGTAGGGGTAGTAGTAGCAGTAGTAGTAG